AAATATTTGGGGCTTTACACTGCTGCACTTGTTTATATTGACAATACGTCTCCTCTGTCTTACTTTCTTGCTGTGTTTTATGATATAAGTAGAGAATATAATGGCTTCAGAGCTACACAGTACCGCAGGCCAGAAGTTCATTGTGCTCTTTGCCCCTTCATAACCCTTTGCACAAGCAACATTACACACAGAGAGAAAAGAAAGAGGCTGTTTACCAAAGGGATGATTCTTACAATTTACAGAGTTTTGAGAAAAAAGTATGTGAACCCTTTGGAATTACTTGGTTATCTGTATAAAATGTGATCCAGTCTTCATCTAAGTCACAGTTATAGACAAACACAACGTGCTTGGCACTGGATGCACAGCAGCCATCAAATCATGATGCTCCCATACACAGCTGGGGTGGTGGTGTGCAGTGCCTTTTTTATGCAATATGTAGTGCTGCATGTTCTCCCACTGCAATTCAACTGTAGTGCCAGCTCCCGAATCCAATTAGCTTTGTTGGATGTCATTAGCCTAGGGGTTCACATACTTTTTCCAGCCTACATTGTGAATATTTGAATAATGTATTCAATATAGACGAGAACAATACAATGAGTAGATTGTGTTAGTTCATAATTGTAGAACTATTTGCCTAGCTCAGATTGGATAATTGATTATGATGCACCCTTCTCATAGATTATAGACAGGCTCATTATCACCCTGATGAAGGCCATGTTGGTGAAATAAAGATCTTTCCAACAAGTCAACTAGTGTTGCCAGTCCCCCCCCCATTTCTACTTGTTCATAATTATAACTTAAATGAAGATCCGACAATATTTTAGGACAATTTTTTATATAAAGCAAATGGAGATGATTCCAAATGATGTACCTACTTGTTCTTGCCACTGTACGCTTGTGTGTTAAGAATGCAGGTAAGGTAAGATTTCTCATTTTCTCCATATTTAAAATTCTGTGAAAACGAACAAGTTCATGTTCTCACTGAGGTTGCCACGACAACACAGCCGTTACATAGCAGTGCTCCCAGGCTGGCAGAGGACAAGAAGTGATCACCTTGCAGACTGTTAAGAACCAACATTGTGTAGATGGAGACGTATAACGCTCTGAACTGTAAAGCAACAGCTCCTGCTGACATATACGGTAGTTTCTATTTATATTTAGTGCACCTGTTATTCTTGTTTTTAAGCATCAATTTGCGTATTATAAATGCTCATATTGTATTCTACTTCTCAGCCATGCTAGCGGCGTGTGTCTAGGGATGTCTGTCAGCTGGTCCACCACTTTTGTTCAGACTGAAAATATTTGAGCAACTGTTAATGTCTTTACATTTGGTATGCATATTCACGTTCCCTTCAGGATACTGTCAATTGCAATAACTCCAGTGATCCCTTAACTTTTTACCTAGCACTACCATGAGGTCAACTTTTACTTTGGTTTAGGACCAAACACCCGCATAGCTGTATTGGTACTTGCATGCTTCTGCCATACATCTGTATTTCTCTTGTTTTGACCCTCTAAGGTTCAATTGGTGAAATGGGTGCAGGTGCACGGTTTGTTCAACATGTAGCTCATAAGAATGCCATGTTTGTACATGTTTGACGAAAAGCCTCTTGTCTGCCATGTTTTTTTTTTCTTTTTTGCCGCCTGACATAACAGAGGCTGAACAAATTATTGTTGATATAATAGGAGCAGTCTCTGAACCATGGCACTGAACAAGAGAAAGATCAGGACTGAAGCTAATGCATTCACGAGCTGCAAGAACAAAGAAAAAATAATTTATCTGAGCTAACGCTGTCCGGGTGGGGACAGCAAGACCAAGATAAAACCTTTGTTTTGAAAAGCTTTATCTTCCAGATTTTATTTGTGATACTATATGCCGCACATCCTACTCTTCTGACATACAGTACATTATCTATTGCATGTGGACTCCTGAGGCTTATGTTGCTCAACTGACCCTGCCCTGTTTGACGGTGCCATATAAATGCTGTGTGGCAGACGGGCATATCTCCAACAGTCCAGGGAGCTATGAGGGTGGTGAGGTGGGAAGTCAAAGAGAGGAGCTGTCTTAAGACTGAAACATGTGATTTGCATGGGTCTAAATCAGAAAACAGGGTTACACATGCACGCTCAAAGACAAGTTAACCCCTCGAGTATGCTCTAGAGCAGATCCTTCATCAGTCACTTCCAGATGCTTCAGAAGTCCACCCTCACCAGTGGCTTCTGCATACATCTCTGATCTCATTGTTCTGGAGATAATTAGAAGAAGAAAGCGTGGTGGTGGTGGTGGTGTTTCTTGTGCGGAAGGGAGCCTCTGTATAGCATCCGCTTTTCAGATGCTTCTTGCCTATCTTAAGGAAAATAAGAGATGAACAAACAAAGGCTCTTTGTGCATAATCCTCAAAATCTGAGTGAAGCAGAGGGGGCTAGTGATATTTCCCAGGGGCTGGCGCTGGAGGCAAAGTGGATCATGGGTAGATACAGCTGATGACAGCAAACTGAAACATTTGAAGAGACCTAATTAAAAGTCACAGCCAGCCAAGTGAAGCCAATACAACTTTTTGCTTTTTATTGAGCTGGCTGGTCTGGTGCTGCTGTTTTAATCACTATTCTGTCCTTGGTTTGTTCAAAATCTCAAATTATATGTGCTCCTCTGTACACAGAGATGCTTCCACTACCCTTGGACAGACTGAAATGCATTGGATTCTTTGACGAATTTCAGTTGAGACAGGTACATTTCCTCTTATTTATTGAAAAAGTTAAACTTTTAGAAATGTAATCTTTTCGTCAGTCAATTGGACTTAAGGGGCACAATGTCCCTTTTTAATACACTCCTTTAGCCATCACCATTTCAGCTTTCAATTTCAGTTTGACAGTGATGTTTGTATTATAGCCTTTGGAAAGTTCAGCATTTCCTCTGTCTGAACTGGCACCACTGAACCAATCACCTCAGGAAGGGGATATTAAAAATCTAAAAAGGTATCTAGAACAATTACAGCAATCTACCAATCAGACAACTTTGAATCAGAAAATTATTTAAATAAATTATAAAATATGAGACTGTATGAGAAACTACAAAGTTTCAATTATGCTCATAAATCGTACAAAAATGGGCTTTTATTTGGCCAATATCCTCATTCTCTAGTGTACTGTTCATACTTATCATACTGCATGTGAAGACTGAGCTGTTTGAAAAGGTTGTCAGGGCACAATTATTTCAGTTTCGTTGGCATCGATCTATTTCAGCTTACAAGTAAAAGGACAAACCATCTTTTGGAGATAAGCTTTGGCTTATTATCTATGACAAGAATCATCTCAGAAAGCTGAGGAGGAGCAGTGCATGATGGGGGGGGGTTGGAGTTGACGATTAGTCTGGACAGCCTTCCGCTGTTATTAACACTCATCTCTTGGTCCATTTCAAGTGTTTAACCATTAAAATAAACATGTATTTACAGAGTTTTGGGTTTATGATTGGATTGTGCATAAAAATGTAATAAATTGAATTGTTATGATATATTTTTTGACAGGTGATGTTGAATAAATGCCTGTCATTCCATGTACAGTACCACAGTAAAACACAGCGGATAGAATTTTAGTGCTGTTTTTTAACTAATGATGCATCAGAATCAGAAGCAGCTTTATTGGCCAGGTGTGTTGAACATAGGAGAAATTCGACTCTGGTACAGTGGCTCTCAATGTGGACGTACAATGTTCTTCCGTAAAGCAATGAGCAGACAAGTAAACAAGCTAAGGAATACATTAATACCAAGCTAACATAACTCAAAGTGCTGAAAAGGTTAGCACACATTATTCATTTTGTTCGTTTTCTTTCACTAGATTAATTAAATCTTTTCCCACTGTACAGGAAGTTTGACTTTCACTTTATACACCAAAGGTTTCCCTCTGGACAGCACCTTATGGTGGAGGTGTTGTTTGCTTTAATTATGTAACAGGAAGCAGGAATCGTCCTCACTTGCTGGAGGCTAAGACTAGAGGTAAAAGCAATTAACTTTGAGATGTTATGAGCCACCACACTGACATGCAGATTATAAAGACACCTAATGGTAACACATAGAAAACTTCATGACTTAGTCTCTAAATTATAAAGTCTTCCATCAACTTGGCAAGTAAAATACATTATAAATTCCCCCTGTCTTGCTCTCTCACTTTTTCTCTTAATCTAGGCGAGGACTTTGGTATAACGAGGACAACTTTTTCCTCTCATGATACGCTTGTTCAGTCATAATTGCCTCTCTGTTGTATCATCTTGCCTGGTGAAAGAATATGAGAGTTAACTGAAGGCTGTGAAAACATTTGGTGCCTCATTATTCTCATGCCAGTAAAATCCAAATGACAACTGAATCAAAACGCTGCTTTACTTTGACCAAATCAAAAGTCTTCACTTCCTTTGCTGCAGACATTACAGTAACAAAAACCTTCAGTTCATTCAAACATGCTGCACAACATGTATCCATATTCTCCAAACATACTGTTCTGTTGAATGCACAGCAGTCTAACCAACCTTTTTCTGTTAAAGCTCTCAGACTATAGCAACACATGGACAGAGCTGCACAACAGCTAAAGAAGAGCACTCACAACATTCATGATTTTCATAAGTGTGGCAAAGCAACTACACACACTTGTCTCAGAATGTCTAATAAACCCAGGCATGCACTTCTCCTCTTTCTTGCCTTACCGTTTATATGCTTTTCGCCTCATTTTCAGCAGATAAGATCACAGTATTCATATGCCTGTGCTTCCCCTCAGAGCGGCATGCATTTAGAAAAAAGCCTCCTAATTCTGACTGGAGACAGGCTGGTAGGCAGAGAGAGAGAGAGAGAGAGAGAGAGAGAGAGGGGAAGCTGAGAATTGAATGGAACAGGAGGAGGGGTTATGGGAGTGATGGAGAGAAGTAGAAGAAGTGAGAGAGCGAGAGAGAGGTGTGGTAGCGGTGGTGGTGTCACTGTCGGGAGAAGAGGAGGTAAAGAGTAAAAGTGGCTAACCTTGTATCATGCTGCATCTCTCCATCAGATTCCTGGTAGGAAGAGAAGAAGGGAGGATGACATGATTAGATGTATTTATCAAGCAGATTTATCTGGTTCTTATCTGGTGTTTAACGAGCTCTCAGAGTGGCTGTGTCTCGGCAAACAAATATATCCATTATTTCTTACTCTCAGCACACACACACACACACACACACACACACTCTATCAGTATGGAGAGCATTAAATGAAAGAGGGAGGAGGGAGAGAGACAGAGCAAGAAATGACAGATTAACAGTGGTAGAAAAATGCTGTGCTGCAGAAATGCTGGGGAAGTGCTCAAGGCAGACTTAATCACTGTAGTTGTTGAAAGGGGCGCGGAGAAACAGAAAAGACAGAAAATGGAAAGTTGTAGGAGGCAAAGTGAAGAAGGTAAACAAACCAAAAATGTTTGAAAGGAAATTTAATAAAACAGTTCAGCATTTTGGGAAATACACTTTGGTTTTCTTTGTCAGTGAGAAGATTGATAGCACTCTTATGCTTTTACAGTAAATATAAAACTACCACCATCAAACTGTTGTCATATAAAAACTGAAAACAACTAATGTAGCTCGGTTCTGCACAAAGATAATCTTTTTTTAAGTCTGTACAAAAAAAAGTGAAGAACAAAAATTACAAGTCGTGGTTTTACAAAGACTTTTTATAAGAAAGCTAACGGTTGTTATGCTGATATAAGCTAACTGGCTACAGGCTGTAGCTACATGTTCTCCATACGGTAGAGACACAAGAATCATATCAATCATTTCATCTAACTCTTGGCAAGAAGTCAATTAAACATGTTTCTCAAAAATGCTGACACAGCATGATTTAAAATATCATACACAATAGAGATGACACTTGTTCCATTCAATTATGCTCCATCATGTCTTCACATGTATAAACATGAACAGAGACGAATGAGTGAACATCTTTTGACTGCACCACAGAGGGTGACATATCCAAATCCCTATTTTTCTTTGAGGAACTTTTTTTTAAACATTTCAATAATTTTCTCACACACGCGTTGGCAAACTGGTGGTCCTTGGCCCATCTTTGCCCCTAAAGGGCTTGGCCTTTCCCAGATGCCACTTTTGTACCAGATCATGATTTCAGTCACCTGTTTACATCACCGGCTTCAAATGGAATCATCATTTCAGTGTTTTACCTCATTACTGGCCCTGAAATGTAACTGTCCCAACTTTGTTTGGAATGTGCTGCAGCATCAGGATTGAAGTGTTTATTTTGAACCAAGAATAAAATTGATGAGGAATCACATCAAATAATTTTGCTGCTGTATTGTTTTCAATGGAATACAGGGCTCAGACAATTTACAAGTCACTATTTTCAGTTTTGATTTGATTTTACATACTGTCCCAACTTTTTCTGTAATACCGTGTGATGCAGAACACAAAAGCCATTGCACCTGCAATGTTTTGTGACTAATGTGGAAAGACAACATTTGGCCGATGTGACCATGTCGACACTGTTGCCTCTTTTATTAACAGAATATCATGCAAAAAAAAACAAACAAACAAACATTTTTACAGGTTTTTTTTTTATTGCTGCATTGTAAACATACACTTGTTGCAGCAGAGTAAAGGAAACTTGTTTACTGTTCACAAAACCTTGGTAGGTGTATTACTAAGATGCACTTAATGCTACCACCCACACATGTAGCAAAATTAATCAGAACTGAGACTTTAAGGATTAAAATTATTAGACAAATTCTTTGTTATGTATGTCAGCTCCAACAGACACACAACGGACAAGTTAATATACAAATTTGCCATTTTATTACTGAATATTTTATGCACCTCTAATTTTGCAGGTTAGAATTCATGGCATTTATTAGAGAACATGTTTTGACCTTGTCTTCTAGTTTGCCTGCAAACATGCTGACTA